CCTGCCGGAAGAAAAAAAAAGAGAAAAAACAAGCTGGCGCCGCGCCAACTCCAACCTTCCTTGAAACGCCTCCCCCCCCCAAGTATCCTGGGCGCTCATAAAGGCACTACCAAGTTTATTCGTTATGCACAGACAGAGTTCGAGTAAATATGAGGTTAACAGCTATCAGATCTGTTTCTTCTGAGAGAGTAGTCGACGCCTTCTGAGCATACGAGCGATCACTCTGCAAGGTAAGTTTACAGGTAGGTAATCATTAGAAGTTTTTCAAGTGACTAACCTCCTTCTGTACTCGGCTCTTGACTCCTGAGGGTTATCATACCCTTGATCTACGTTGTTACCATAAGGAGCACCATCATATTGCGCAGCGTACTCATCTGGATGATAATTGAATTAAAATTTCAAAATTACCTCCCGAAAATGGCCCCTCTTCACTAACCTTTACTTGGTACTTCATAATTGTTGGTACCGGTAGACTTTGGTGGACATGGGCAGTACTCTCCATCTTGTCCAGGCACGCCAGGTACTCCGGGCTGGAAATCATTCCGTTTTGAGAGAAAAAAAGCTTAAGAAAGAGCCAACGTTCTGAACATACATATCCAGGTGGTCCCAAAGGCCCTTGTTTGCCAGGTTGTCCTGGGGGACCGGGCTGTCCCATTGGACCTGGAGCACCAGGCGGTGGACAGTATCCCTGCGGTCCTGGCCTTCCAGCAGGACCGGGCCTTCCTGTTGGACCTTTAGGTCCTGGTACGCTCACACGTAGCACAGCGTCAAATCCATTTTCTCCTGGAGGACCCGGAAGTCCAGGTGCTCCTGTGTTAAGCATGATTCATCAATGAGTTTAAGTGCGGGTTATATTCAAAAGATAGTTACCGAGTGGTCCCTGATCTCCGGGAGGTCCACATTCTCCTGGAGGTCCTGGATATCCGACTTGTCCAGGCGTACCAGGTGGTCCAGGTGGACCCTGAATTTTCCGAATTTCATTAATTAATAGACCAGCGCCCAAAGTTCATGATATTTCAAAGTATGATACCTGCTGCCCGGGGTATCCCATTTGCCCAGGTGGCCCTGGAGGTCCAACAGGGCATCGGATACATCCTTGAAGTTCTTCCTGATATGTTCCAACGGTAATACCGTCTGCTCCTGGACGTCCTGGTTGTCCGGGAAAACCGGGTTCTGAAACTTTTGATGAAGCTTTGCCTCATGCTTTGCGAAACACCTCGGCTACTCCCAAAGATTATTTTTTTCAAACTTTTCCTTGTTTACTTACTCAACACAGTGTACGATCGTCATCGCTACTATAGAATCATTACTATCTAAAATTTGCTACGTCTGCTTGTTTATTTGTTTGTTTGTTTCTGTTGTTCGTTTGTTTGTTTGTTTAGTATTTGCTTGCTTGTTTGCTTGTCTGGAACTCCAGTTCTACCTGGAGAGGCCAACTTGGAAAGCTCAAGGTGAATGAGTTGGGCATGGGATAGGATGTAAAGAGCCCACATGACATATGCTAAGCCACGCCTACTGGAGGCGGGGAATACGTCAGAATTTTTTCGGCGCCGCAGACATTGGTAATTCGGTTTCGGAACAAACTGGAGATGGGGGCAAAAGTGTACCGAAGGTTTAAGGGTTGACAGACACTGGATTTGGAAGGCCACATCCGGAATGATGGGGCGTAAAAGAGATAGGCGGCGCTACTAACAAATCCAGTAGCTCGGTTTAAAGGCAGCGCGCGTTCATTTGATGTTCCTACGCCCTCCTTAGATATCGTAGCTTTGTGGACAAGGTGGAGGATGTACTAATTTCGCAGCTCAAAAATGCGAGAGAATGGCACCACCTGCTTCTGAACAGGATCGCTGCCCGCCCACGCTGGCTACCATTACATTACTGTTTGAATTTAGCCTTCAAAGGCTTAAGCCGCTTTCACGAATAATGAGTTTTTGGAAGCTCATGATAATGCGTGATGCCAGTGGCCGAAGAGAAAAGGCAGAGAAAAAAAATCATAGGAAAATCCCTAGAGACCCCATGCTGGCCAGGTGGGGCGGTGGCGGTCCACTGCTCTACTGGCGAACGGGTGCTCATCTTTTCGAGCCTTTTTTGAGATGGCAAAAGTAGTACATACTGCATCTTCTTGCCCAGGGAGGGCTATCGACATCCAGAGAGGGAGGCGGGGACCATCAAATGAAGGTGGTCGCTTTGCCGGCCCGCACCCGCGCGCCTTTGAGGAGGCTGGATAGTCAATAACTAGATATCACCGCCAATGTTTTAGTGAATCGTTCGATGCCTTCCCCCCCCCCGCCTCTCCTTCATCACAAAATCCAGGCACTTTTTAGTTGGGCTAAGTGAGGAGTCTTTCCTATCCATTGGGGTTGTCTTTCTGACTGAGGGGGACTTTGAAGTAATTAGGCCGTCTCCGCTCCAGAATGGCTGTGCACGTCAGCCCGCTTGCAATGTCCATTTTGCTGGGCAGTGCAAAGTCGAATGCGCAGGGCAAGTATCCCACAAGGAACCACAAACTTCGGCTATTTTAGCATGAAAACGCTGGGTTATGGGCAGAAATCAGTTCCCAAGGAAGACTCGAACCCGGCGCTATGGAGATGGCGGGGGGCACATACAGCGCTCACAGGGGGGGGGGTGGGCTTAGCTATCGCATTACGCACCAAGTCCCACTCAATTCAAGAACCCGTTCCATGATCTAAGGGCCTCGGAACAGGGCACAGCATTCGATGGGGATTTTGGTCGAGCTTTTACGACCCCCCCCCTTTTTTTTCAGGGGCTGGTACGACCCCCCCCCATGCTCGTACGATGGCTGACATGGCTGACTGTGGTTGTGGTTTATACTCGGCGAGAAAAGTTGTCGTCGAGCGGGGAGGGAGGATATGTAGTAGGCATGCGACGTACATCGTACGGGCGTACATAGTACCTATAACACAGAAAATTCATAAAACTCATGAAGTGAACCACGTAACTCCTAGCCAGAAATACGACCCCCCCCTCCAAAACGTCCGCAAAGCGAGAAAAATCAACTATAAAAATAAATTTTTCCCAGCCCAAATACGACCCCCCCCCCCATCGAACGCTGTGCCCCGCTCGGAAAACAATCGAACGCCTTAAGACTTCTCAGTTCCTTTCTCAATTCAGTGACTTCAGATTTAAAGAGAAAGGGATACATTCTATGCTAGTCGGCCTTGGCTATCCTGGTCATACCTATCTTTAGCAATTATGTGCTCCAACTAGTTTCTCCATCTTCGGCATTGCCAATTCAGGTTATACGAGAGCTCCTTGAATAGGGCTAGTCTATTCATGAGACATTTCTAATAAAGTGAGTGATGAACAATCACCCACTCAATGAAGCCTGAAGTTTTGAAGTATGGGCCTCTGTTGGTGTGAGGGGTTTATTAGTATGGCCTCTAGTTTTCACCCACTTTAAACCGGTCATAACGGATATTCACATTAGTGCAAACATAAGTGTTTCGCCTATCTAGCAACCTCATAATTTATCTAGGAGGAAAGTCAATTAAACTGACAGTTGGAGAAGCTAATGAGATTTCATAGGCAGGAAAAAGCTGAACATGAACCGTGGGAAGGCATGTCGAGAAAACGTCGTATAGCCATGTGAATGATATTCTACTCGTTTGGTGTATTGAACACAATCTCTGGGGGGGGGGGGCAGCCTGATATTCAGCGTCAGCGCCTGGTACCCTATACAGCCTTCAGTTGGTGCGGAGGGAGAGAGCTCCAGGTTTACTGAGCCACTTCACGCATTCTATATTTTCACAATGGCAATGGTTCTCACAAGAATGCTAGCGTGTGGGGGAGATTCTCGTCCCCGGGCAGGACTCGAGCGAGCCCTCTCGCTCACAGGGCGAGTGCGCCCTCGTGGCTCCAACTAACCGCCTCTTACC